ATGGAAAGTGACCCATTTGTCAGATTTATTTGCCCTCGATCCTTTGCGGAAGGAACGGTAAGTAGAGTGAGCGTCCAGGTAAGGAGCGTCCTGGGTGGGGTGGGGTGCGGTGGGGTGTGGGCCGTGTGGGATAACCCTACCTGGCTAGCGGCACCTCTAACAGCCTGGGCTACATTGCAGGCTAGAGCCCCCGGACGTGTCGGGGACAGCGACAGCAACAGCAGCAGCAGCAGCGGCGGCGGGAGCCACTGGCGGGGTCCCCGAGTCCCCCCAGGGAAGAAGCAGCAGCAGCAGCAGCAGCAACGGGGCTGAGCAACAGCAGCAGCAGCAACAGCAGCAGCAGACCGTGTATCGGGACATCTGGAGCCTGCGGGCCTCTCTGGAGCTGTACGCCGCGGCGTCCGACCACAGCAGCGGCAACGACCAGGACTCGGTCCGAAGCGCGGACAGCGCGGGCTCGGCCGGGGCCGGCCCCGGCGGCGTCCTCCTGCCGTCTCACGAGCTGGGCGAGGCGGAAGCGGAGCGGGAAGCGCAGGCGGAAGCGCAGGCGGAAGCGCAAGCGGATCGGGCCGGGCCCGCCCGCGGCCCCGGCCCCGGGGAAGGGGGCGAAGCGGGGCCCCGCAAACTGCTGCAGATGGACAGCGGCTACGCGTCCATCGAGGGCCCTGGGCGCGCCGGCGACGAGGCCACCCCGGCCACGGCGTCCGAGAAGCGCTTCTGCTTCACGAGCGCCGGGCGCACGGGCACAGTGTTCGACAGCTTCGAGGCCGCTCTGGCGGCGGCCGAGGCCGAGGCCGGGCCCGGGCCCGAGGCCGAACCCGACGCGGAGGCCGAGCCGGAGGCCGAGGCGGAGCTGCGAAGCGCGCAGGGGCTGCTGCTGCTGCGGGCCTGGCCCCCGCACGGGCAGCTGCTCCTCCCGGCCCCCGCCTCCGCCATCCCCGCCGCCGCCGCCGCCGTCGCCGCCGCCAGCGGCCTCGGCTCCGGGCCCGGCCCCGGCCCCGGCCCCGGCCCCGGCCCCGGCCTCGGCCTGGGCCCCGTCCCGCTGCCCCGGCGCGACTACAGCATCGACGAGAAGACCGACGCGCTCTTCCACGAGTTCGTGCGCCATGACCCGCAGTTCGACGAGGGCCCGCGACCGCGCCACCGCTCCCGGGCCCACGCGCGCAAGCAGTGGCAGAGGACGCGGCAGCACAGCGACCCCGGCGCCCGAGCCGCGCCCCCGCACGCCCCGCCGCCGGGGCCCCCGTCCCCGCTGCAGCCGCCGCCGCAGCCCACGCCCCACGTGGCCGCCCCGCCCGAGCGCCCGCGCGCCCCCTTGCGGCGCGGAGACAGCGGCCCCCCGGACGCCCGCGGCTTGCACGGCCCCCTGCCGCGCATCGTGAGCTCGGCCGACGAGGAGGCGGCCGACGAGCCGGCCTCGGGCCCCGGCCCGGCCCCGGGCCGCGCGCGCTCGCGTTCGCCACCCGCGCCGATCCAGGCCATCGCGGAGGAGGAGCCCGACGCCCCGGGAGGCCCCGGCGAGGCTCTGGGCCCCGAGCTGCTGCTGGCGGACAAGGTGGCCGCGGGGCTCGAGGACCGCCTCTTCCCGGGCTGGCGGCGGAGGCCCGGGGACGGCGCCGAGCCCCCTGCCCACGGCCCTGCCCCGGTGGTGGCGGCGGCCGCGCCCACGTCCCCGGACCCCAGCCCGGTGTAGGGAGCGCGAGGACGGACCAGGGGCGCCCGCCCCCTCGGGCCGCGCCTGCCGGGGCTCCGGATCCCAGCGGCCTGGGGCTCCCCCGGGGCGCGAGCCCCCTCCCGCCCGGGCCCCCCGCGGCGGCCGCGGTGCCGGCGGCAAAGGGGGAAGGCGCAGGCCGGCCCCCCAGGCCAGACGGCAGGCGGAGCGGGACGGGCGCGGGGCCCGTCGAGGCCGGTGCTCAGAGCGCGGCCTGGCCCAGCCCAGAGGCCCCAAGGAACTGGACCGATCCGGCCCCGGGCCTGGCCCGGCCCTGGGCGAGCTAGCCGAGGCCAAACATTTACCTCACGGCGTGTTCCCGGTGTAGCCGCCCCGTCCATTCCCCCGCCCGCTCCATTTGCTTCATTATTTTTTTGGGACGAGCAATAACATCCCCCCTCCTCCCCATTGTCCTGTGCCCCCCACCCCCCCGGTGCAGCGGGATTCGGGGCAGCCCCCCTGTCGCTGCTGTGTTGCTGCTGGGACCGAGCCCAGCCCGGAATCCGCCCCACCGGGGCTGTGAGGCCTGGTCCTGGAGCTGCTTGTTGCTGCTAGCCCCTCCGCACCCTAAAAGCATCCCCAGTCGGATCTAAAGCCCCCTTGGCTGAGCGGACCTTTCTATTCCAAAGCCCCCCTCCCAGACCGGCCCCTCCTCAAGCTGATCATTCCCCGATCCCCTTTCTGGCAGACCAAGCCCGTCCCCAGCTGCTGTGCCATTTCTTCGCCCTTTGCCAAAACGGAATGTTAGAGTGTCAGAGCTGGAAGGGGCCTCAGAGACCCCGAGTCCTGCCCCATCGGCCCCTCACGCTACTGAGGAGCAAACCCCAGCTAGCCAGGGGCAGAGCCAGGACCCCGGGTGCAGGAGGGTCTCTCGATTAACTGGTCCAAAGCTTCCCATAAGCCCCTCCCTCTGCCTTGGCTAAGGGGCCCCCTGGCCAGAACCTAAGTCCTAGCCCCCCCAGAAGAAACTAAAGGGGCTCCAGCTCTGTCTGCCCCGTCCTGTCCGGAGAGATGGGTGGCTAACGTTAGGATAAAGCCCCATTGAGGACGATGCTTCTTTCTCATCACTAACCCCTTCCCAACAGTCCAAGGAAAAAGGTCCTCCTGTCGGACAGACCTGCTGCTGCTGCTTCTCTTTCCTCACCTAATTGGTCGGAGGAGGAATCTGCCCTCATAGCCCATCCTTAGGGGCTTAAGGTGGGGGTGGGGTCGCTGCCTGACCACCAGTGCCAATCGTGGGCTCCAGTGGCCTGTTGGAGGGTCTCTTAATCTTCTGCCTCCTACCCCCAATTGAACGAACAAAGTTTTTTGTTATTGTTGTTGTTGTTGTGTTAAATTATTATTTATTATTATTATTATTATTACTTCCTAATCACCCTCTCTCCCTTCCCTGGCCTAGCCAGCCAGGTTTGTGTTTTTCATGGAAAGAAAACCAAACCAAACCAAACCGTAAATCTGTTATCTGTAAGACTCCTGCTTTGAGGGGCCAGGAGGGACTAGAGTCTCATCTAACCCTTCTCCCCTGGGGATGTCCTCCACTCACTTTGGCTGGGGGGGGGGCTCCCCTTCCTTCTCCTGCTTCCATTTCTGCATGTGAACAGACATTTTGCAGGGTCCCATTTTGTTTCTTCTTCCTCTTTAATTGTTTGTGAGTCTCTGTCGTCCAAAGCACTTGAAAAATAATCCGTTGTTTTTTTTTTAAAACCCAAGTAAGCCCACTGAGGTTAAGAGTTTTTCTAAGCTTTAGTGCCTGGCAGCCTACAATCTGGCTGCCTGAAGTTCCATTTTTCACCTCCCTCCCCCCCGAAGTGCTTTGGGCCTAGTTTGTGCCGAATGCTGGAATTTTTTTCAATTGAGTTTATTAAAAAGATCACTATATACTGATCCCCAGTGTTGTTGCTTCTGTGCTGTATAGGTAACGGGGGAGGGGGAGGCAAAAGTAGAGTGGGGAAGTCAGACAGCGTTTCCCTGGCATTTTTGTATATCACACCCAAAGAGGACTGTCTAGAATTGGGTACAGGGAACTGGGAGAAAAGGCCTTCCTCTCAGCAACAGGGATCCTCAGCTGGCACCCTGTCTCTTCTTCTTCTTTTGGCTAGGCAGTGGGGTTGAGTGACTTGCCCCAGGGTCACACAGCTAGTAAGTGTTGTATGTCTGAGGCCACATTTGAACTCAGGTCCTCCTGACTCCAGGGCCAGTGCTCTATCCACTGCACCACCTAGCGGGCCCCATCCTGTCTCTTCTCTGATAGGATAAGGAGCTGGAAGGTCATCCCACCCAAACTCCTTTGTTTACAGAGGGTAAATAGACTGGTCCTACACCTAGCAGTAAAGACGGGGTCTGAACCCCTATTTTCTAACTCCATGGAAGGAGCTTATGGGGTCAGCAGTTAACTTATATCACGTGAAATATTTCCTGAAATAGATAAAACTTCTAGTTCCTATTAGCAAGAACCCCGCTTGAGGAATATGCTTGAAGAACTCCGTATGAGGTGTCCTAAACCAGCATATCTGGGCCTATAGGAAATCCTAAGTCTAGGGATCACTTCTAATGACAGGAAGCTCACTCTCCCTTAAGCATCTCCTACTGCAGGACTGATCTGATTGTTAAAAGTCCTTATTCAAAATGAAACCAAGCTTCCCGCTCATTCCTCTTGAGTTCAGCTCTTTTCTTCAGGGCCACCTAAAGCAGGCTTGTTCTCTTGGAGGACCCCTGAGATCGCAGAGACCCCACCCCCTATGGTTCTCCCATTTATTTAGCCAATCCTCATGAGGCATGGTGGTATCCTTTTCATATATGCCTTCTGTAGAACTGGAGACAGTGGGAGGGCCTCTGGGTTTCCTAACATCCCCCAACATTCACCTGGTCCTGTACTACCCAGCATGAGGGAGTGCCCACAGCTAGAATAAGAGGAAATCTAAAAAGACACTGAGTCAATCCTGGGGCATCCTTCCTAAACTACATTGGGAAAATTATACCAGTAAAAAGTATTGTCTTGATGAGGTTCACAGCCTTGGAGAGCTTGAAGGAAACTTGGAACACAGCAGAATGGTAATAAGGCTGGAATAGAACCAGCCCAACCCAATTATACAGATGAGAAAACTGAAGCCCAGGGAAGGGGAGGGACTGGTCCAAGGTCACACTGCAAGGAAGTAGCAAAGGAAGGCCTTGAACCTGGGTTTTGGACTCGGAGGCTCTTTTGCTCCATAAAACCTTAAGAGGTGAGAGATGATGGGTGTGCCCCACAAACCCCTTTCAAGAATTTCCAGACAGCACCGATGACCACAGCTCAAATCCACCTCTTCGTTTTATTTTTTCTTAAAAAAAAAAAAGTAGCCACTCAAAGTCTCCCTCTCTTAGCCCTGTACAGCATGCAACGCAGTTTTTTTTTTAACAGGAGAAGTTCATTTCTTTAATACCTGTTTCTGTTGTTTTGTGATTTGTTTAAACATCACAATGTGTGGGAGAATCTCTAATATATCGCAAAGTAAAAACAAAAATAAGGGGGGAAAAATAGATACCAGTAGTTTAAAACATAAAGTGCATTATGATGGCTTTGCACAGAAGTTGTCCACCTTTGGAAGGGCAGGGCAGGGTAGGGCACGCTCTCACTGGACAGCTGAACTTGGCTGGTAGAAAATACGATAGATGGACAGTCAGGCAGGACGGACAGACGGGAGCAGAGAGAAGAGCCGTCTCTGCTTCCCTCCCAGAGTTCCTTCCTGGCGCTTCTCCTCCTGTCGCCTTGGGGAAGGGGGAGCAGTGCAGGATGGAGATGCTGAATTGGGGGTGGGGTGATTGGCAAAAGGCGCTGTTCAGTAGGTGTGTGGGGGGATGCAGCTGGGAGAGGGGAATATCTGCCTTCTCCTGGGCCCGAGGAACCTGCAGCTTGTCCTCTCCTCAAGTCTGAGAACTGATTGGGGTCGGTGTGGAGGTTTCATCTGCCTGGGGAAGGGCTGGGTGAGGGAGTGGGATGTGTCCAAGGCGAGAAGAGGAGATGCAGAGAGCAAATGGCCTGGCCCACGGAGCTCCCAAGCAGGATGCTGAGGAAGAGATGAATGGAGAAGTTAACATGGGCCCTTGAAGAAGCACTAGCCATAAGCTTGGACCTTACCAGGGGCTGGCACTTGAACTCACAGCCCCAGCCTCGAGCTCCCCAAATCCTCATGGCAGCTCGGCAACAGGGGCCTGGCATTGCTGCCTCAGCACATTCAGTACACTTACCTTAAGGAACCTGAGACAGTGTTATCATTTAGTATCTTTGACCCAGTTGGAAGAAACAGAAACCCAGAAAAAGGGTCAAAGTGGACACCACTAATCTGTAAGGATCCCTGCAGACTTCATACTGACTCAGTTTTAAAATGTAATATTATCGATGTTTTATTATATTTCTACTTATTTATTATATTTCTACTTTTATTTCTACTTAGATATTTCCCAGTTCTCTTTTAATCTGGTTTGGGCTGCATGGACCTCATGTTCAAGATCTGTGCTCTGGAGGACTAAAGATTCCAAATCCCCCATTTTACAGAGGAGGAAACTGAGGGATCCCATCTGAGTGGGGAAGGGATTCCTTCCAAATCTCACTCGAGCCCTGGTAACCCTGACTCCAGATCAGCACCTGACCTCCTTCCCTTTGAGTGGAAGCAGGACCAGGACCCTGTGGCAGCTGTCATTTCTGCAAGGCCAAGATTTTGACGATCAGGGCATCTGCACAGAAAAGGCGTCTCTTAAATAGATGTATTCAGATACCTCACTGTTTGGGAGGAGGGTCCTTTGTTCTGAACCTTAAATTTCTGGTTTGTTTTTTTGTGACCACAGGGGCCTCTCTGAGCTTCAGAAAGGGACCCTGGAAGGTTATTTGGCTCAATTTTCATTTTCAACTTAAGAAATTGAGGCTCAGAGAAGGAGGAGGTGTTTTATACGTCAGGTCACAAATTAAGGAAGAGAAATAAAACAACTTAGAGCTCTGCCAAAATTCCACGGGGTGCCTCAAAAAGATTAGTGGGTTCCCCTCCTTGGAGGTCCTCAAGCCGAGGCTGGAAGACTCCTTGTTGGGTGTCTTATAGTGGGAATTCCTTTTCAGGTATATGAGCTGGTTTGGAAGGCCAGTGAAGGACTTTCTGACTTCCAAATTCTGTGATTCTGAAAGCCCCTGGCTGGATGACCCTGGTTTGAGACTTCAGGTGGGAGCATGTACAGCTCCTCCAAAAACATCAGCTCCCTCTATGAGTAGCCAGCCCAGCCCTGGCTCTCCCTCCAGGATCAAGGGTGGGAGACAAAAGAGCAGGGTAGTGATGGAGATGGGGTGATGTGGTCCCACGTTCCTGCTGACGTCTTTGAGTGCCTTAGGGGGCGACTCACTGCAGATCTATGAATTAAACATGAAATCCTTCAGCTCACTGAAATGGAGTGGGAGATGAAATGGGGGTGGGGGTGGGTGGGTGCCATCCTACCTAGCTGGTTCTGATTCCAGAAGAGAAGAGCTGCTAAGCTCTGGGAGGCTGCAGAGCAGGGAGGAGGCTGATGTTGGGAGAGAGAGGCCAGGGGGCCGGGGAGGAGGAGGGATGAGTCACCGATCCATGGATGGAGGACGTGCTCTGGAAGCATGAGTGCTGTGCCTCCCAGCCCAGGAAGGTACAAAAAAGGGGGCTAGGGGTTCTAGTGGAACAAGCAGCCAGGAATGTGACCAGAAGTATCTCAGGAGGAACAGAATCTAGGGCTTTCTGGGAAGCTGGCAGGGGGTGGGGATGGGACAGACTCCCAAGAAGCCCCTGGGCTGTCTGCTTCTTGGAGCGTGCAGTCAGGTCCTCATCCCCAGAACTGGGTACAGAAGATTCCCTCTGAATGGCTGCTGCAGCTTTTGTTGCACACATGCAAGGGTTTTCTGGGCAGCCTCTAGCTACCCTGCCAAGCCAGAAAAACCCACTCCCCAAGGGCTTAGGAGATTAGGAGAGAGGCCAAATCCAGACCAGGTGGGGCCCTTCTGCAAGTCTCTTCCAAGCAGGGGACTCCAACTCTGGCCTGGAAAGGCATTACCTGCCATGTATGGGGGTGTGTGTGTGTGGGGGGCAGAGGGAGCATGCAGATGACATTCAGAATCACAATACAGAGTGTCCAAGGAGATGAGACCAGAGAACCCAGCATTCCAGAGCTGGGAGGCCCCTTAGAACCCACAATGTCACAGTGCCGGTTGGTGGCTCTTTCCTCCACAAACTGCCTCCTTTCTGGGGCTGGGTAACCATCACTTCAAAACCCTGAGGGGTGGGGGAAGCCAGGCAGTCGGTGCCATTGTCTAGGATGAGTCAGCCTGGCCCGGCTGCAGGGACACAGGAGAGCAGGCAGAAGCAGCAATAAACATTCAGTCTGTGATTAGACGGCTAGTTCTCTGTCATCCACCCCCAGCCTCCTTCCCGGTCCCCTCCCCCTCTCCCCCCCTCCCCAGTCTCCCACCCACACGGCAAGGCACAGTCATCGTCAATGGGTACAAAAGCAGCTCCCGGACTGGAGCAGGGGCGGGCACTGGGGGCAGGGGCCACGGGATAGGGAGGGGAGGGGAAGACCAGAGTCTTCCAGCCCTGTTTTCCCTGCTGGGAGCTGACAGCTATCCCTAAGAAAGGAGGACAGGGGCAAGGCCACATGGGGCTAAGCTTCTCTGCCCCTTAGGGTCCCTCCTGGTAGGATCTGCCCCAGGCACTGACTGGAACAAGAGTCACCTCCACCCCTTTCCAGGCTCTGCCCGAAGCTAGCCCCTCTCCGGCATCTCCAAGCCTTTCCTTGTGACCAGGAGTCTTCAGCAAGCACCTTCTACCTGTGTCTCCTGTCCAAAGGGACACCTTGCAGGGCCTGCGAAGCTGGCTCAGTGTGGCCAACACTACTCCTGACAGAGGGTTGGGACTCTGGCTGAGGGAGGGGAAGGGCAGATGGCAGACATGGCGGTCAGCTGGGTAGAGGCCTCTGCAGAGCCTTGGCCTCCCAGGAGGAGCCAGGGCCCACCATGCTCACCTTTCTGGGCCCCAGCCCCAGGGTGGGGGAAGGTCACTGCTGCTTGCAAGCTGACAGCCGGCGGATCTTGCTGCTGGCAGAGGGCGCCTTGCGGGAGGGATTGGAGGAGGCGCTGACCCTCCGCTCAGCTTTGGCTTTGGTGCTCAGCTGCGCTGTCTCAGTGCCGTTCATGCACACTATCTTGGGGGGACCCCGGCTCCCACGGTTCTGTCCATTTTGTCCAGCCTCCTCCTCAGGGACCTGTCCTGGAAAGGGGAACAGAGCAGAGAGAAGAGGATGGTCAGACCTCTGCTAACAGGAGGCTGAACCCCAAGAGGGAGAGAGCTGCCTGTGAATCCTACCCAGCACATTTAACAGGCAGCGTGACCAGAGGCAACTCTCCCGTGAGGCCGAGTTATTTCATCTGTAAAATGGGGATAATCGCACCTAGATGATCTGACTGGGCTGTTAGGAGAAGCTAATGAGATCACGTGTCTGAGGTGCTCTGTAAACCTTAGTGTTACCTAACTGAGGAGGAGGTGAGTGGGGCTGGAGAGAAGAAGGTATGAGAAAGAATGCAAGATGAAAGCATCCCGTCACCTCCTGGCAGATAGGGGAGGGATATGTGTCAGAGGCCCAGCAGCAAGGCTGGGCCAAGAGATTTAGGGCTGGGGAGACCTGCCAAGAAACTATGGTTCAGACCTGAGCAGGTCACTTTCCCTATGCCCCCAAAGTCAATCTCCACATAAGTTTTATTTCTGTGCTGGGATTTTATTTTTTTACATTTTACACCAGTCCCTCAATAGCCAGCCTACACTCAACCCCTCTTCCTGACAAAGGAAAGAAGGAGGAAGGAGATAAGCATTAATTATGCATCTACTATGTGCCAGGCACTGTGGTAAGCTCTTTACAAATATCTCATATAATCCTGACAACAACACTGGGAAATGTTTTTTTTCCCCCGACTCTTTGTGAGTCCTTTTTGCGGGTTTTCTTAGTAAAGACCCTGGAGTGGCTTTCCATTTCCTTCTCCAGCTCATCTGACAGATGAGGAAACTGAGGCAAACAGGGTTAAGTGACTTGTCCACAGTCACATAGCCAGTAAGTATCTGAGGCCAGATTTAAGCTCAGGAAAACAAGTCTTTCTAACTCCAGGCTTGGCAATCTATCTACTGTGCCATCTAGCTGCCCTAATGGGAGATGGGGATAATGAGGTGCCATCATTATGCCCATTTTATAGCAGAGAAAGCTGAACCTGACTGGGATTGAGTAACTTGCCCAGGGTCTCACGGCTAATAAGTGTCTGAGGCTAGATTTGAATTCGGGTCTTCCTGATTTGTGTCTGAGGCTCTACCCACTGCACCACCTAGCTGCCAAAGAAAAACATCATCTGTAAAATGAGGGGGGCTCATCTGATGGTCTTTGAGGTCCCATCCAACTCCAAGTTTCTGATCCTATGATTTAGGCAAAGTTGACCTCCCTAAAAGTATACTGCGCACCCCACATCTGTGGGTCCCTCACCTCCAGGGAGAGGAGGAAGGTGTGGTTCCTCATTAGCTTTCCAGGATCAAGACAGCCAATTAGGATGATTCTTTAGGGTTCAACTGCCTTCCTCATCTGCAAAATGGGAACACTGATCTCACTCCCCACCCTCCAGGCTTATTATGAGGCTCCAAGGAGGTAATCTGGGAAAGTGCTACAGCAATGCTGGTTGTTAATTATTATCATTCCCCATTTTTTTCTCTTTTCATAGCCCAGTAATACTCTATTACATTCACATACCTCGGTTTGTCCAGTCATTCCCCAATCAATGGGTTCTGGTTTTGCTTCCAGTTTTTTTCCTATCACAGAGTGAAGCTCTGATCTCATCAGCTCCCATGGATTCAATTATCATCTCTATGCAGATGATTCTCCTAACCTCTCTCTGGACCTCCAGCCCTCCCCCTTCCCCATCTCCAGCTGTCTACTGGACATCTTGAACTGCACATCTTGGAATTCACTCATTGTCCAAACCCTCCCCCACCTTTCCCGTTACTGTGCAGGGCACCAGCATCCTCCCAGTTACCCAGGCTCAAAACCCAGGAGTCCTGGATTCCTCATTACCTCCCCTTGCTCAGCACCACCCCCCTTCCCCTCATACAAGCTGCTGCTGAGGCCTCTAGATTTTATCTTCATAATATCTTCTCTCCATCATCACTCACACCCCATGTAAGTCCCTCCCTAATCCAGTCTATCCTTCACTCAGCTCTCAAAGAGATTTTCAGAGTTGTCCAACCCTTCTGGAGTTTTCTTGGCAAAGATACTGGAGGGGTTTGCCATTTCCTTCTCCAGTTCATTTTACAGATGAGGAAAATGAGGCAAACAGGGTGAAGTAACTTGTCCAGGGTCACACGTTTAGTAAGCATCTGAGGCCAGATTTGAACTTAGGAAGATGAGTGTTGACTCCTGGCCTAGCACTCTAGCCACTGCTGACACCCACCTGCCCTATTTTAATTACTAGGAAGATCAACTGTCAAATCTTCTTTGTGGCTTTTGAAGTTCTTCATGCCCTGCCCTTCCCCCCATCTTTCTAGTCTTCTTCCACCTTCCACCTTCCACCCCACCACATAAAATCTTTTTGATCCAGGGACTCCAGCCTCCTGGCTGTTCTTCCATCTCTCAGCTCCAGGCATTTTTACTGGCTGTCCCCCAGGCCTGAGACTCTCCCCCTCCTCATTCCTCCTTCCCTGGCCTCCTTCAGATCCCAACCCAACTGAAATCCTACCTTCTTCAGGAAGCCTTTCCCAATCCCTCTCAAACTCAATGCCTTTCTGCTCTTATTTCTGTCTCCTGTCTATAACTTGTTTGTACCTAGTTGTCCGCATATTGTCAACCCTATTAGACTGTAAGCTTCTTGAGGGCAGGTCCTGTCTTTTGCCTTTCTTTCTTTCTTTTTTTTTTAATCCCCAGAGCTTAGCACAGGGCCTCTGCTCCCCTACTCCCCATGGGACGCCGGGCAGGTCCCTTAAACTCTGTGCCTCAGTTTGCTTATCTGTAAAACAAGGAGACTGGCCTCCAGGACTTCTTCCAGTTCTAAATCTGTGACCCCTGTTTCTCCATTTCTCTAGTCACTGCTGCCCCAAATCATCAGGGATGCAGCCCCCAGGTGAAAACAAAAAAATACTGACACAAATAACAGTCGTGGGTCATGACCCTCGCTTCCCATTCCAAAATCCCTTCCCATCTTCTCTTCTCTGCTCAAGGGTCACTCCCAGTAGCACCAGGAGTAGGGCAGGATCTGTTCTGCCTGTTGTGAAGATGGGGGAGAGTGAGTCCCAGAGGGATTCAGCAACTCTGAGGTCACACAGTAATAACTAAGAGAAACTTTAATCTGCGTCTCCTGACCCAGAATTTAATGCTCATATAGCAGAATGAGCCCCAGATCTTGTTCATTTGTTCATTCATCCACAAAACAACCCAGAAAGGAAGGCAATTAGCCATGACTGACCTCCTCAAGTGCAGGGGTGAGCCTGGACTCGGACAGACTGAGACTAGGAAAGGAGACTCCAGGGAGGGGATAAAAATCACAGAATGGACACAAAAGAGCCAGGGACTTTGGAAAAAGGGGAAGGAGGAAAGAAAGAAGCAAACAAGCATTTATTAGGCACCCACTGTGTGTTAGGTACTTTACACATATCTTGTCTGAGCCATTCAACAACCAATTATTCCTGTATTACAGTTAAGGAAACTGAGGCAGAGGGGAAGTGACCTGCCCAGGGGCACACAGTGAGTAGTCTTCCTGATTCAGGGCAGCTAGGTGGCAAAGTGGATAGAGCACTGGGCTTGGAATCAGGAAGACTTCAATTCAAATATGGCCTCAGACATTTACTAGCTGTGTGTGACCTTGGGCAAGTCACTTAACCCTGTTTACCTCAGTTCTTCATCTGGAAAATGAGCTAGAGGAGGACATGGCAAACCACTCCAGTATCTTTGCCAAGGAAACCCCCAATGTGGTCACAAAGAGTTGGCCATGACTGAAAAATGACTGAACAACAACTTCCTGAATCCAGGCCTTGTCCAGAGCCTGTGACAGGGGTCTCTGGGGGTCCCTGTTTGAAGCCCCTGGCCAGGGAGTACAAGGAGGAAGGGAAGGAAGTCTGGAGTTTTGGACACGATGAGGGACAGGAAGAGAAGATTTCTCTTCACTCCCAGCTTCAGATCCTGGGACTCTGCCCCCCCAGGTAATTTTAAACTTTAGAAGCACGACTCGATGGATGAGTCACCCAGAGCCCAGGGGAGCTCAGGGCTTCAGGGTGAGTCCATCTGTGTCATCCTGAGCTCTCTGGTGACGCTCACTGTCCCTGGGACCCTTCTGCTGAGGAATGCTGGCTCCCTTGCCTGGCACCAATCTGTTCGGAGAGCGGGACAAACACAGGCAGAGGGCAGGCCATGTTATGGATGACCTCCCAAAGCCCACCCAATCCAGGAGTCTGTATGCTCCTGTGCACAGCGGTAGCAGTTTACACATTACAGGGCAGGGCCAGTTTCTTTGCTCTAAGACCCCAGATTTGGGGAGAATCTACAAGTGCTCCTTGGGCTGGCGGCAGCCTTAGGGAGGAAGACAAGATGTGAGGAGTCAGGACGGTGGCCCCAGTCATTAGGACGACGGAGGGGCCTGAAGATGAGTTCAAACCCCTCCTCAGACACATGTAACCCTCAGCAAACCTCTGGACCTCATTACAGCCCCAAGTCTGAAGTGCAAAGAATAACAATCATTCCTCACATCTCAGTTAACCACTCTGGGCCTTGGTTTTATCATCTGTGAAAGGGGAAGAATCCTACTTACCAGATCTGCCTTACAAAGCTGTTTGTGGGGGGAAAAAAAAGCTTTGTGCCTAAAACAATCAATTAGTATTTATTAAATGACCGCTGTGTGCTTGTGCTAAATGCTACAAGACAAAAGTGAGACGATGCTTACCCTCAAGGAATTCAGACTCTATTATGTGAATAAACATTACTATTACCACTTATGTAGGCATTTGACAGGTACTGCAGCATACTGGCTAGAATGCTATTCTCTCTCCTTTTTTGTTGGAGGCAATCTTGGTTCAGTGACTTGCCCAGGGTCATACAGCTAATAAGTGTCTAAGGCCAGATTTGAACCCAGTTCCTCCTACTCCGAGGTCAGTGCTCTATCCACTGCAGCACCTAGCTGCCCCAAGGCTACATTCTCAAAGGCAGGAAGACCTAGGTTCAAGTCATGCTTCTAATACATACAGGCAGGATG